GAGGAGGCGTCGCGCGCCGTTCGACACCTGCCACGAGCGAGACACCGCCCTCGTCAATTACCTGTCCGCGCCCTGCTGCTTGCACAGGCCCAGCGCCGGCGTGGACAACTCGGCCTTCTTCGGGTTCCTTCGCGCGTTCAAGAATCACCTGGACAAGGTGCCCCAGTCCGCCCGCGCCCAAGTCGCGGCCGCGGATGGCGGCGCAGGGGGAGGATCGTACATCGATCGGCTACATCGGGCAGTGGATGATCCAGCGCGGCCGACTACACGAGAACATCTTGGTGCTGTTGTTCTTCGACTGCTGCCTGCGGGGGCAAGACTGGTGCCTGCTTCGCACGGAAGATATTCATTTCGGTGATGAAAAGGCGAGTCCTGCGCTAGAAGTTCGGGCTCGAGGAGAGACGGTCAAGACCAGTGACGCGCAAGGCGCGGTGGCGAGGTTCCGCTTCGTGAATGCACTGGTGGAGGCCGGGGTCAGCGTCGCGCGCGACGGCGACCTCGCCCCTCCGCTCACCGCCGCCGCATTCCGAAAGCGGCGGTGGTCGGACAGCGGCGGTGGTCGGCCCTGCGCGCGCTGGGCCCGGGGCGGAGTGGACCTCCGAATGCGCTGCGCCACTCGGGCGTCGCCCGCTGCGTCGAGTCTGGCCACGCGCTCGAGGCCGCGAGGCGACGAGGTCGCCGGCGGCGGGCGGCGGCGGTGCAACGCAACAGCAAGATCCAAGAGCTCGGGCGGGACAGGGCCTGACAGGGCCAAGGCCGGCGAGACCATCGCGGATCTGGGCGAGCAATTCTGGCAGAACCCAGCGCTGCCCCTGCTCGAGGCGCCGAGGACCGCGCCCGACGACAACGACGAATACCCTGGGAGGGCCATGCAGCGCGTGCTCAGGCGGGCGCTGGACAATGACCCTGCCGCGGAGAGCAGCGGATCGGTGCCTGGGAGGCCCCGTGAGCCCGACGCGAGGTGCCAAGGAAAGCGCGAGGAGAAGAAGCAGCGGGGCGGCTGACGCCAGTCCCGAAAAATGGGTTTCCTCTCTAGGGCTCGTGGATCGTTTCAGGGCCCCGGCGATCTCACTGGAGCCCCAGCCGCGCCGTGCTGGACAGGTGGGACTCGCTCGTGCACGCAACTCTTCTCGGCCTGATCGACATGCCATTTTAGCGACCAGAGAAAGAGCGCCCATAATATAATTTAGGCTTCGCCTCAACTGCACGACTGATTCAAAGTACGCTACTGAGGATTGAGAGTAAGCTTGCCCCCCTTTCCTCCGAGCCCCTCGGATATGAAGCGTCATGCATCTTTTTCTGGCTGGTTTAACGGGGGTCCTGAGGTGGCCGCTGTTCCATAGATCATGTGATCTCGTGCTGCCAGAAATGGCGCTTTGCACTCCCCCTCTGAGGGTCCTCGGATGTGGTGTGCGTGTGTATGCGTGCGTGCGTGCGTGCGTGCGTGCGTGCGTGCGTGCGTGCGTGGGCGTGCGTGTGTGTGTGTGTGTGTGTGTGTGTGTGTGTGTGTGTGTGTGTGTGTGTGTGTGTGTTCGTGGTCGTGTGCGTGTGTGTGTGTGTGTGTGTGTGTGTGTGTGTGTGTGTGTGTGTGTGTGTGTGTGTGTGTGTGTGTGTGCGTGCGTGCGCGCGTGTGCGTGTGCGTGTGCGTGTGTGTGCGTGTATGTGTGTGTGTGTGTGTGTGTGTGTGTGTGTGTGTGTGTGTGTGTGTGTGTGTGTGTGTGGTGTGTGTGTGTGTGTGTGTGTGTGTGTGTGTGTGTGTGTGTGTGTGTGTGTGTGTGTGTGGTGTGTGTGTGTGTGTGTGTGTGTGTGTGTGTGTGTGTGTGTGTGTGTGTGTGTGTGTGTGTGTGTGTGTGTGTGTGTGTGTGTGTGTGTGTGTGTGTGTGTGTGGGGGGGGGGTCGATTTCCGCATTCGCGTATATTTTGGTTGGTTGACATCTGGGCTGGCCCCGCCTCCCCGCAACCTGCCTTGCAAGTTTCTGTGGGTTGTTCTTGGTGGATCGATGAAGGGCCCTGCTGGTTTCGTTGAAGCCCCAGCCGCGGCGCGCTGGACTGGCGAGACTCGCTCGCGCTCGCAGTCTCTTCCAGCCTCATCGCCAGGCCGCCTTAGCGACCAAAGAAAGAACGATGGGACCATAGTTTAGGCTTCGCCTTGCCGCGCGCCTCATGTAGAGCAAGTTGCCGAGGATCGAAAGGTAAGCTGCCCCCCATCAAACCACTGCAATATCTCCAAGCCGTTGAAATATGAGCTGTTAAACGTTGGCTCCTGGGCGGGTTTAACACAGTCCTCGGGTGGCCGCTGTTCCCTCTAGCCCATCTGATCGTGTGCTGCTGGAGCCTTCAGGGGGGCGGGGTCGATTACCACATTCGAGGTACCGTTGGTTGGTTGTCATCTGGGCTGACCCCGCCCTCCCCGCCAATTGCCTTGCAAGTTTATGTAGTTTCTCCTAGGAGGATCGATTCAAGGCCCTGCTGATTTCGCTGGAACCCGAGCCGCGGCGCGCTAGACTGGCGAGACTCGCTCGCGCTCGTAGCCTCTTCCAGCCTCATCGCCAGGCCGCCCTAGCGACCAAAGAACGGCGCGGGCCGCATTCGCGTTCCTTTTGATTGGTAATCATCTGGGCTGACCTCGCCCTCCCCCCGCTACCTGCCTTGCAAATTCCTGTATAGTTTGTCTTCGGTGGATCGATGCAGGGCCCTGCTGATTTTCTGGTGCCCGAGTCGCGCCGTGCTCCTCGTCCAGCCTGACCGACAGGCCACCTTAGCGACCAGGAAAAGAATGGCGCGGATCACAGTGTTGGCTTCGCCTAACTTGCATGCCTGGTTTCGGGTAAGTTGCCGAGGATTGAAAAGAAAGCTGCCCCCCCTCCCCTCCAAATCTCTGGAATACGAATTGTCATACATTATTTCCCGGGCTGGTTTAACAAGGGTCCTCGTGTTGCCGCTTTTTTTCCCTCTAGCTTATCCGATCTTGTGCTGCCAGAAAATGCGCCATGCACCCCCCCATACAAGCCCTTCTTTTCTTGTGTGTGCGGGGGTCGATGTCCACATTCGAGCTTTGATTGGTAGTCTTCTGGGTTTCCCCGCACCCCCTCGCCACCTGCCTTGCAAGTTTCTGTCTATAGTCCTTGGTGGATCGTGTCAACCCCCTGGTACTTTCACTGGAGCCCGAGCCGCGCCGTGCTGGACTGACGGGACTCGCTCGTGCTCGCAGCTCTTTCCGACACCTCACTTGCATGCCTGGTTTCCAATAAGTTGCGGAGGATTGAAAAGAAAGCTGCCCCCCCTCCCCATCCAAACCCATGGAGCGGGCATGCGCGCGCGCACGCGCGCACGCACCCGCGCTCGCACGCGCGCGCACCGCCCGCGTTTGAGAGCGAGGACAACCACCCCTGGGCCCCTTACCTCCCCCGACCTTATTTACACTTGTAAGCCCTGAGCGGGGGGTGGCTCCAGCGCCAAATGTCTACTAAGGTCGCTCCAACAGATTATGCCATCAAGATGGGCGGGTTCCAACACACAGTTTTTTCGAGGGACAATGGTTCCAGCAGCCTACGGCATGGGCTCAAGCACCAAATTTGAACAAAAGAAAATGGCTCTGGCAAAATATGACGTCAAGAAAAATGCATTCCAGCTCCCGGCTTCTGTGAATGACAGTGGTTCCACCAACCCGGGGCGTGGGCTCCAACACCAATACTTCACGAGGGTGCATGGCTCCAGCAGATTATGCCGTCAAGAGGGGTGGGTTCCAGCACTCATTTGTTACGAGGGGCAGTGGTTTCAGGAGTCCACGGCGTGGGCGACGGCACCGAATTTTGATACATGAAAATCGGAAAGTCCTTCCAGCAGATTATGCAGACAAGAAAGGTGGGCTGTCGTCTGAAAGGGCATCTAGGACGATCCGCGCCCCAGCCACGAACCCTCCTACGGTCCGTCAAAAATTCACCAGCAACATTTTCGCCCGTAGGAGCCCCTGGAAACCCTCTGGGTCTCGTGAGGGGTGCTCTGGAAGCCATCCGCGCATCCCTGGAGAAGCTGGCCAGCTGGAAAAACGAAGCCGAGAACGCGACAACATGGTTACAGGGATGAATCGGGGATGTCCGATATCTGGCGGCTCTGAAGATCAATCCGGCGCCGCGGACCTCTCAGAGCGTTTCTGAACGCTCCAGTTCCTGCGCTTGCCTGACCTGGGCCAGGGCCACCTCTGGCAACACCCGATCCGAAGGTCAGGGGCCCCTCCTCGAGCTCCGCGAAGGCGACACGGGTGTCGACGACAATGACGGCGGTGCGGCGCAAGCGGCGGCGCTAGCGATTGTCGGCGGGCCAGCGTCGGCCTGGGAGCACCTGATGGGTAACGACTCGAAGGGGCTTTCAAGGCCGCAGCGATACCCGACCATAAACGTGTTCTTTTGCGTCGGCCCGGGGAACGGTTCAGAAATGGTGGCCCCTCCCGAGACGAAAGTGCTCTCTACTTCAACGTAGAGATTGTACGTCGCCGAGAAATCGGCGATAGGCTCCCGATAGCGGATCTTCTTCCTCCCTCCTCCTCCTCTTCCTCCTCCTCCTTCCCCTTCTCCCTTTTTCCACCCCTGCCCAACTTTTTTTCGGATCGGCACTGCGAGCTCCCAAGATCGGCCACAGCGAGCCAGACACAGCTTGAGTCCCCGCGACCATCAGGCCAGGCCGCAAGGCCTGGGGGGAAGCCTCCCCTTGTTCTCCTCCTCCTCCTCCTTCTTGTCCTCCTCCTCCTCCTCCTCGTCGTGATCGTGGTCATTGCCAATCTGCGGCTCGGGCCTCCGACAGCCGATCGGGACGATCTGGACAACCCCGGCACGCTCTCGACGAGGTACCTTCAAAGACCAACGAACTTTTACGAAAACCTCCAACAACAACTGCCTTTGTTTCCTTCGTTTCCTCCTCCTCTTCCTCCTCCTCCTCCCCTTCCTCCTCCTCCTCCTCCTCCTCCTCCTCCTCCGTCTCCCCTCCGGCCCGGCCCGAAGCTCCCGGCGCCGCTCATGTTCAGCTCCCCCCGGAGGCCGAATCGCATCTGGGCGGGGGGCTGCCGTCTCGCGGTCCAGGCGGATTTGCATGTTCACATGTACAACAATGACTGAGGATCAGGGAGGGGGTGGTGAGGAGGAGTTGAGGAGGAGAGGGATAGCTAGCTCATCTGCGCCACAGACTCGCGGCCGAGCCGAAGGAGGAGGCGGAGGCGGAGTAGGAGGATGAGGATGAGGATGAGGATGAGGATGAGGATGAGGAGGAACTTCGAACATCAAAGGAAGAGGAGAAGGTGGAGGAGGAGGAGATCCTGGGGATTTGCTGTGCTCTTTTGACCCTGCTGGGGGTTGGTTCTCGCCGCGGCTTGATTCTCTTTGACATTCTGGCCAAAACGCATTTCAGGACAGATCTGGAATCGATTCTCGAGAGGAGGCGGATGGGGGTAGAGGCAGGGGAGGGGGCGAAGAGGAAGAGAGATATGAATAGGTCACCTGCGCCACCCTGGATAGCGGCTCCGAAATGTCACAATAAAGAAAAAACACGAGGAGGAGGAGGAGGAGGAAGAGGAAGAGGAGGAGGAGGAGGGAGGAAGAGAGGGAGGAGGAGGAGGAGGAGGAGGAAGAGGACGAGGAGGAGGAGGGAGAGGAAGGGGAGGAGGAACGGGAGGAAGACGAGGAGGAGGAGGAGGAGGAGGAGGAAGAGGAGGAGGAAGGGGAGGAGGAGGAGGAAGGGGAGGAGGAGACCCAGTCCCTGAGGCACACCGATGTTTTCTTGCTTGCGCCGCACCCTCATTGCGCTAGCGCCCTCACTAAGGCACTGCGTTTCGCGCGCAAGCAGAGCCGACCCTCGAGGCAGTTTACCCCCAGCGGCTGGGACTGCAGCTGGCGAGCTCGGAGAGTGTTGAGACTCGAAACAATCGAATCGGCAGCAGCAACAGTACATCTATAGCCTCAGCACTATCGAAGGGGAGCGAACAAAGATCGAAGCAGGGTCGAAGATCGCTGTGCCCCCACCGCGCTGACAGACAGGGAAGGAGACGCCTCATAACAGGAACGAGATGAGGACGAACGAGATAATGGAGGATATCGTTGTGGCTATCACTCCGAATCGACGCAACATATTCGCTTGACGATATCGGCGCGACGTAATCACAGCGTTACAAACACATCTCAATATACTGATTCCGATAAAGCACGGGAGATTGGTACCGACTATCATCAGGCGGAAGATGGGGAGGGAGGCCATGTCTCCAGCGAGGCCAGGCCCCCAGCACCGCAGCCTGCGACCTATGGCATCCTGCAAATAGGGCAGCGGAAACAAATCCTGATACGCACGCTTCGTCCCCCTTTGGATCTCCAGGCGCTCTAGAACCCCCCTCTCTCCCAAGGTCTATCATGCACAGTGGGCGGCAGTGACCTGATGAAAATACCACGCCCCCCCCCCTTGGGCCCATGGGGTGATGTATCTACCTTTTTCGCATTGCGATTTACATGCGATTCTGCCCCCTGGTCCATCCGAAATGCAAATATACACTATCCCAGGGGGGGCCGGCATCGCCCCCCCCCCCCGCCATCCTCTGCAACAAAAAAAATGCCCACGCGCCCTCGTTTACCACACAGCATAAGTGTTCAAGAACCCCTCGCACAAAATGGAACGAAGTGCTCGCGCGCGCGTCGTCGCGCGCGCATGCCGCAATCATTCAAAAACCTGCGGTTTCGGAAAGATTTCAAAATCTAGTATCAAAAAAACACTTTAAAACAAAAGGATTCGCAACGTGGGTTTCCAAAACAAGCTTCTACGCGCGCTCCTGCGAATTCAAAGGAAAACCGTTGCTTGTTCAGCATTTGCCGAACATGCTACCAAACAGGCACCGCGCGCGCATGTCGGAATCGTTCGGGCGCCCTTGCGCGCGCGCGCGGCACGATCCGCGTCAAATACTTCCATACGGGCCACTCTCGCGCGTCTGCAGCGCGCGCATTTCGAACTGCTTCCCAAACCTTCACCGCCGACGCGAAAACGCCGTCATCGTCGCCAGCGCGATCAGCATCGGCGCCGTCACCAGCTGCCCCGTCGTCGCTGTCAGCATCGCCACCAGCATCGCGCTGCTATCATCATCGCGTCTACCATTGTCGACGTTGTCATGATACTGCGCCCGCCCAAGTCGCAGACTCGCACTGAAGTGCCCGCTGGAAACTGCCGAGCGGCCAGCGCCACCGCGCTCGCGTCGGTCGCGCCAAACAAGCTAGTCGCTGCGCGCGCGAGCACGCGCGGGCTGTCGCGGCCGCAGAGATGCACCAGCCAGCGCCAAGTGCTCGTCGCAATCGCTTCCGCGCGGGGTTTGCGAACCAAGTTGCGGGCGCGCGGGCGGGATGGTTGCGCGAGCAGTGGAATGGGCAACTTCAAATTGAGCAAGTGATTGAACGCACCGCGTATGTTGCGCCGCGCAGCTTGTGCCCCTCTTCCTCCTCGCCCTCTTCCCCCCCTCCGCGTTATGTTCCTTCGCCCCCCTCCTCCTCCGCCAAATAGCTTGCGCCGCGTAGCCCGCGCCGCGCCGACGAGCGCGTTGACTCATTTGCCTCCTGCATGCGCGAATGCACGCGTTATTCGCGCTGCGCGCGAATCATTCTCCGCGGTCGCGCTGGCTCGAAGCGCGCTCGACAGCCAGAGATTACGCAAGATGTCTCGGAGCCGCTCCCCCGCGCGTTTGGCGCCCATTGCTGCGGGGCGCGCAGGAGTGGATTCTGCCGCGCAAATGCACGGAGCTACAGACCGCGCTGCCACAGAGCGCGCGGCCCTGCCCCCGGCGCGCGCCGCTGCCGAGCAAGCAGAAATTGATTCCGTCGCGCAGCAACGCGGAGCGACAGACGACGTCGCCACAGCGGCGCGGGACCGCATTGCTGCGCAAACAGTATTGGAATGCGCGCGCGTGCCTACGGCGTCGCAGGAAGCGGCGCGAGCGGTCAAGACGCGGGCTGAGAACTAGCGCTTTCGACAAGGCTCTGCCGCGATAAACTACGGGCACCGATTGAGCTCTGCCGCGAGCAGTCCTGGGCGCGCGGTCGCGCTGATGGAGATCAGGGGCTCGCCTGCACGCGCAAACGTGGCGCATTCAATGAAGCCGCGTTGTATTGTGCCATAAACGCCTGTCAGATCGCCCATCATAAGCGAATTGCGGCGCGCGCATCGGCAACCGACTCAAAACTACAAGCGGCAGGCAGAGATGCGCGCCCGAGCGCTCGAACAGGATGCCGCGATATCTGTTGCCGCGCTGGCTCGCGAAAGCGGGTTGAGCGAGGGGCGCGCAAGCAACTTGATCACTGCGGCGCTGCAGGCCGACGCGCTTCGCAGCCCTGCGTCGCCAGCCCAGGCCCAGAGAGCAGAGCATGTTTTGCAATGCCTGGGCAAATGGTTTCGGAGCTCTTCAATAGTGCGTTCCAGAACGCGAGCGCGAATGCTTTCGCAGCGCTGCGCGCAGAGTAGTCGAGCCACTGACCGTCGAATAACCAGTGCCTCCCGCCGGCGTTCCCCGCCAGGGATCCAAAACACCGTTCTTGTTTTCCACGCGGCGCACCCCGCGAAAATTGCAAGGCTTCTCCCCCCCCAGACTCATCGATTCCCCGGAGCCCTATGCAAAACGCAAATGATTCTGAATTCTGACTCATTGCCCATGCTACCTGCGAGTTCACACTACCCCAGCCAAATGGGCATCGCCCCCCCCTCGGTTCCAATGGAAAAATCTACGCGCGCACACTCGCTTAGCAATGAACTCCAGAAGCCCTTGCAAACGATGGAATGAAGTGCACGCGCGCGCGTCGTCGCGCGCGCGTGCCAAAATCCTTCAACAACCGTAGGCCTCGGAAGGATGGCAAAATCCAGCGTTAAAAACATGGCTTCGCAACGCGGATTCTCCAACGAAATAAGGAAGAGAAAAAAGCTTGCGTGCGCGCTCTTGCGAATTCTTACGACAATCCAATGGTGTTTCAACATTTTCAAAACGTGCTACCAAGCGGGCTTCGCGCGCGCGCATGTCGAAATCGTTCGAACGCCCAGGCGAGCGCCCGGGGGGGGGGGAGGGGGCACGACCCGTGTAAAAGTATGCCATGCGGGCCACTCTCCCGCGTCTGCCGCGCGCGCATTTCGCACTCCTTCCAAAACCTGCACCACCGACGCAACGACGCCGTCATCGTTGTCTGCGTGATCAGCATCGGCTCCGTCACTGGCTGCCCCGTCGTCGCTGTCAGCATCGTCGCCAGCATTGCCTCTATCATCTTCGCGTCTACCGTTGTCGACGTGCTCATGATACCGCGCCCGCCCACGTCGCCGACTCCCACTGAAGTGCCCGCTGGGATGTGCCGAGCGGCCAGCGCCGCCGCGCTCGCGTCGGCCGCGCCAAACTAGCTGGCCGCCGCGCGCGCGAGCACGCGCGCGCGGGCTAGCGCGGCCGCAGAGACGCGCACAACAAAATACTCTACCCCCCCCCACCACCACCCACCCTACCCCCGGATTTCACGGTTCCCCCTGGGGTCTTGCTAACAATTTCATATTTGTTCTGCGCTCGCCCATCCTAAACATGAGTTCGCGTTATCCCAGCCGGGCCGGCATCGCCCCCCCCCCCCCGCCCACCCACACACACCCCGCCCCCACCCACGCCGCCATCTCAGTCAAATCACACTATGCGCGCGCTTCTTCATCGTGAGAAAACAAAGTTCAATGGCCCCTTGCACGAGATACAACAAAGTCATCGCGCTCGCCCATGTCAAAAGCGTGCCAAACACAATGGGTTTAATCAAGGGCTTTGCGACAACGATATTGCAAATGTCCTGTCCGCGCGCGTGCTAAAAAACACGCAAACACCATGGGGGTCGTCTGAATTCTGCCACATCCAGCGTTTCCATGTCGCCGCGGGGTGCACCCGCGATGCTCCTGTCATGCGCCGAGGGCGCGAATCCCTTGCAAAACATACTACGCGGGCCAGGACGTGCGCGCACCGCCGCGCGCGCATGATCAGTCTGGCGGATGCGTCGAACTTCCGCGCGCGCGGATTGCGAATTTCCTTTTCAACCTTGCCAGCATCGCCGCGATCACCTGCCTCATCGACAGAAGGACATCAGCATCGTCAACGCGTTTGCCATCATTGGCGCCGTTGTCGTTCGCGCCGTCGCCCCCGTAAGCGTCGTCGTCGCTGGTGCCATCTTCGTCATTGTCGCAGACGCTGCCGACGTCATCTTGTCATCGCGCACGTCCGAGCATCGTCGACGCGCTCGCCTTCATCATCGACTCACGGCGACGAGCATCGGCAGTGAGGATGCTATCATCAATGTCGTCATCGGCGGCGCCGCCGCCCCCCGCATCATGAGTTTGGCCGCGCAAGTGGAGGGTGGGGGGTGGGACGTTTGCGCGAGCAGTGGAGATGGCGACTTCAAGTTCAGCAGAGCGGATTGCGCCGCATAAGCTGCATCGCTTCGAATGCGCAGCATTGATTGCACCGCGTAGACCGCGTTGCATGTATCGCGATGCCTGGATTGCACCGCGTACCTTGTGCCGCATAGATTGCGTCGCATAGGGCGCGCCACGTGGACTCTCCCCTCTAAGAAAAAAACAGATTCGACCCCCTCTCCTTCCCGGAGCAACGATCCCCCTGGGGGCATTGTCATTGCACAAGTACACTGCGCACTAGTCCATCCTACCTGTTGATTCAAACGACCCCATCCACGCCGGCATCGACCCCCCCCCCCCCTCCCGCCACCCCCCGCAAAAGATGCGATGCGCGCGCGCTTCTTCGTCTGAGGAAAAGCACATTTCAATCATCCCTCGCAACAGAAATACCGCAAAGTCATCGCGCGCGCCCATGCCAAAATCGCGCCAAACACAATGCGTTCGCAAGCTTTTCAGCATAACCACATAAAACTCCCAAGGGTGTTGCAACATCGTTTTTGTTGTTGCGCATTTCCTGTCCGCGCGCTCGTGCTAAAACCGCGCCGAGACCGCGGTGTTCTTATGACTTCTGCCAAATCCAGCGATGTCATGTCACCGCGCGGTGCACCCGCGACGCTCCTGTCATGCGCCCAGGGCGCGAATCCCTTGCAAAACATACCGCGCGAGCCACATGCCCGCACCGCCGCGCGCGCATGACCAGTGTGACGGATTTGTTGAACTTCCACGCGCGCGAATTTCTTGTCAACCTTGCCAACATCACCGCGATCACCTGCCTCATCGACAGAAGGACATAAGCATCGTCAGCGTGTTTGCCACCATTGGCGCCGTTGTCGTTCGTGTCGTCGCCCTCTTGAACATCGTCGTCGCTGGTGCCATCTTCGTCATTGCCACGGACGTTGCCGACGTCATCTTGTTATCGCGCACGTCCGAATATCGTCGATATGCTCGCCTTCATCATCGACTCACGGTGACGAGCACTGGCAGTGACGATGTTACCATCGATGTCGTCATCGTTGGCGCCGTCGCCCCCCGCATCATGAGTTTTGCCAAACAAGTTGCGGGTGGGAGGGTGGGATGTTTGCGCGAGCAGTGGAGATGACGACTTGAAGTTCAGCCAACGGGATTGCATTACATAGACTGCACCACATCGATTGCAACACGCAGCTAACACCACATAGTTTCGCCACTTAGTTCCTACCACATAAGCTGCACCTAGCTCACACCACATATCCTACACCACATAAATGTCACCACACAGGTGAGAATTTTAGCTGCTGCCGTAGATGTTGCACCACATAGTTTACACCATGCAGTCTGCACTACATAGGCTGCAACGCACAGATGGATTCGCTAGCTTCTACTACATAGGTTGCACAACAGAGCTCTCATCACGTAACTCATGCCACATATTTTGCACAGCGTAGATGGGTACTGTAGTTCCTACCACACAGGTTGCACCACATATCTTACATCACGTAGCTCACACCATCTGGATTGCACCACAAAGCCTACATCACAGACCAAAAGAACCTCCTGTTTGGGATCAGCGCTGGCTAACATAACTTCCACTTGCACATGGCACTACTTTCAAATAGAGGTCCACGCTGGCCAATGTCTATGGTCTATGTAGAGCTTACTCCTTTCGAGAAATGGTGCCGTGTGGGCGCCGTTCCGGTGCTGCGCGTGCCGGCGCCGTGCGCCGCGCCCGCCTGCCCGCCCCCTCTCTGCCCCAGCGCAGCGGCGAAGCCCACGGCAGGGGTGCCTGGTTCGCGGTCAAGAGGCCGTCTTGGCGAACCGGCGTCGGCCCGAGCGAATGATGATCCGATGCCGCCAAAGAGGTCAGAAGCTCTCCTTTTTTTTTGACTTGCGCGCGGGTGATCGTCTGCCGAACACTCCTGCCCGTGGCGCCGAAACGACGAGCGAGGGGCCCGAAGAAGGGCCGAAAGAAGCGAGGGACGGACCAGGGCCCGAACGGAGCCGAGCGAGGGACCGACCCGAGCAAAAAGGGACAACGAAAACTCGAGGGCCCGAGACACGCGAAGCTGGCAAGACTGGTGAAACAATTTGAAGCCCGCGTCCTGGCTCCTGGGCTTCCAGCCTCAACCTGCCAGGCAGCACATTGTGCAACAGACCAGCAAGGCGGCGGAGAGCCCTTTCCTCTCTTCGCGAGCCTGGGCTGGGGGGGGGGCAAAAGGAGCACATAAAGGATGAGTGGGCGCAGGCGGTGCGGGTGCCTGCTTCTCAGCGCCTCTGTGCCCGCTCATCCTAAGCCTAGCCTATGTCCGACTGTAGGGAGAAAGCATAGACAGAGAGGCTGCACAGAAAACCCCAAGCGGCGGGCGGGCAAGAGTCTTCTCTCTTTGCGAGCCTGGCCAGGGGAGGAATGACAAGAGCACAGAAGGGATAAGTGGGCGCAGGCGGAACGGGTGCCTGCTTCTCAGCGCCTCTGTACCCACTTATCCCAAGCCTATCCTACACTTCGACTGTCCGACTGTCCGACTGTAGAGAGAAGGAAGCACAGACAGAGAGGCGTGCGCAACTATCCCCGCGCGGCGGGCAGGCAAGAGTCTTCTCTTTGCGAGCCTGGCCAGGGGAGGAATGACAAAAACACAGACGGGATAAGTGGGCGCAGGCGGAACGGGTGCCTGCTTCTCAGCGCCTCTGTACCCACTTATCCCAAGCCTACCCTACTTCCTGGAGACTGCCCTCTGTGGCGGCCAGGAAGGGGAGTACTGCAGAACGACACTTCTGGCGGCTGGTGTCGGGGATCCGAGTAGTCCTGCCAGCATCAGACAGACGAGACAGACCAGATATCCCTAGGCGTGCCCGTGCGGCTCGGTGGGCAGCACACACACCAGAACCGTTACATCCACCCCACCTCCGAAATATACACGAGAAATCTACGGGGCCTCTAGAAGCCATGCAGGATCAAACAATGCCTGAAAATTAAAGACATCGTGAGGGGCAAGAAAGGCATATATAACGTTGACATTGTCAACCGCAGTGACCTCACCGACTGGTTGACCAGTGCAGGGGTCACGACCATCACACATGCGTCGAAGCCGTGAGATGGTGCCAGAGGCCCGAGGGGGCTCAGTGCATAATTTAGTCAAATCAACTGCTTTCTTGCACGAGTAGCGGCCGCATCGTCGACAAACTATGATATTATTTAGGCGCCTGAGCACGTGCCCGCCGCCAGTGGGAGAAGAACACTGTGTACGCAATAGATAGCTCTTGGAAAATGAACTAGCCCAACAATTCAAGCATCGAAACCGACCCGCCGAGGGGTCCCAGAAGTGTTCATGCAATGCCGCAGAGGAGGCACCAGAGAGAACTAGGGATGGGGCCGTGGGGGCGGGGGACTCATCAGAATCCACCACCCAAACCTTTTTGGGCACGTTCTTGAAAATCCATGCTATACAATGCCCGATATACACACCAAGATTGCGCACAAGCAGTCCAGAGCGCTTGACACGGTCGTGCAGTACCGTGTCCAGTGTGTGTAGGTCAGCACCTAGGTTAGCAAGTCTGTCCGCTTGCTTATTACCAGCAGAGGTAGAATGGCCACGAACCTTGGTGACCTTAATTAAATGATACCCAATATCTGAAGCCGCACGGTGGACACGGACCCACAAGGATGCGTGAGTGGCCCATCCGTGCGTGGTAGCTTCATACCCCAATGCCCATCCGTCCACAACGTACTGGGCAGCAGTGACAAACTCATAGCAGTGAGAGGGGGCAGCATGGGCTAGGTAAAATAAAAAACGCATAAAACTCAGCCCCTGAGACATCCTGGGTGAGAAAGGGATATACGCCATATGCACCAGCATTAAGCCGAAGCCGATCGTTGGCGATGGCCTCTCCGAAAACATTGCGACTACGCGGGGCAAATGAGCATACACCCCATCCACAGCGGAGAGTGAGCGGCGAGGGACCATGCTTTCCCGAGCCGTCTCCAAACGCGGGCGACGAGAAGAAGGGGCCATCTGTGGCTCCTTCCCAGACAGGGTCTGGAAAAGGTGGTGCGAGCAGGGAGCAATAGCGAGGGTCGGGAACCAAGGCAGTGGTCCAGACAGGGTTCTCGCGGTACTGCTCTATGCAACGGGTGAGGGCTGGAGTCGGGCCGAACCAACGACGAAACTCCACAAGCCCATCACCATCAGAAGCTCTCCGCTGTGTGCAATCTCTTTGGCGATGCGGCGCAAGGCCCTGCCCGTGCGAGGCGCGCCCGCTGACCAGCCAGAGAGCCGCGAGGTTGAGATGATGACGATGACTACGACGGTGCTGATTGTGAAGGCGATGACGGTGATGACAACGATTATCGGCCCGAGTGGGCGACGGATGACGATGATTCTGGTGCTGGTGATGTGCGATGATAAGGGCAGCACCTGGCCACCAGGGTCGGTCTGCATCTCGATCTCGCCGCCCATTCTTCGGTCGATCCAATCCTGGAGTTGGCCGCATGGGGTGCGGGCGGGGCGCGCGCGATCTTCCAGGCTGCTTGTCTGATGGCCAAGCTCCTCTGGCCTTGTCGTCGTCGTCCTCCTCCTCCTACTCCTCCTACGTATCCTGTGGCTCCTCGTCCCTGCCCTGATCCTCATTCTCATCATGGTCCCAATCCTCACCCTGTTCGTCGTCCTCGCCGACCGTTCTCATCGTGCACATCCTGGCATCTGGCGCCCTGGATGCTCGTCTGGTCTCGGTCCTGGTCCTCTTCCACCTCCTCCAACCCTTTCGCATATGAAATGTCCAGACCGCCCTCGGTGAGTTCAACGAGGGCGGTCGTTTCGCAAGACAAGTCTAGAAAGCTCTAGCTTCGAAAACTAAGAGTGCGTGGGCGGCTTCAAGTATCGCGAATTGCTCGCTCGCAAAGGTCGGCCTTCACTCAAATGTCGCGACATCTCTCAGTCTTCAGACAGCGCGACGGAACGGTGATGTTGCGCATGCGTTGGACGTCGACGCTCGTCTCGCGACAAGGAAACTAGAGCGAAGCGGAGTCGGCAGTCGCGCGCGCAAATGAGCAAGCTTTGCGACCAATATCAAAGAGACCCTGAAAGGCGTGCATTTATCACCAGAGCGTCTATGTATTCACGCGGTCGCCTGAGGTTCCATCAGGACTGCGGTGCCACCCGCGTCATCGAACAGCGAAATCGGTTCGCCCCCTCTCCTACTCCTCCTCGGAATTTCAAGCTCTGGCTATGGTGCCCTTTCTCTGGCGCTCTACAGTCAAGCTGCTGCCACAAGGAACACTATGTAATGGATCCCTTTCTTGTTCCCCCAGAGGCCTGGGTGCAAGTGTAGCGCTCGAGGAACAAGCATGGAAGGGCATGAGGAACAGCGAGCTCCTACCGAAACCGAACTGCTTCACATGTCAACGATTTGACGGTATAGTGCCCCATCCGGCGCCGCATGGGGGCGCTTGAGGGGTCCAGCGCAGACCCGAAACATCCGCGCGAACCTCCGAAGATCTGTGCCGATGCATGTTTTTTGCTGTCCCTCTGATTTTTCATCAGATCTTTTTCACCATCGCGCCCTCGCGCGGAAATTCTGTGCAATTTACCAAGGAATCGCGCTCACGCTTTGGACTTCCTCGCAGTTTATTCGGACGCCAAGCCCTCGACACTCAGGAATCGCGCTCGCTCTGGACTTCCTCACGATTTACTTTTGAATCGTGCTATCGCTAGAAAACTTCCTCGCGACTCATGCACGACCGGCGCTTCGGCGACACACCCGCTCAACCTGGCCGCCCGGGCCCGCACGCCCGACCCGCCCGTTAGGGTCCGCCCGCCGCCCGTCTGGTCCAACCGATTGTTTCTCTGTTCCTAACCTCTCTCCTGCTGATCTCCCTCGTGTTCCATCCTTTTCCGTCCCCATTTCCCTTTTCCTCCCCCTCTTTTCTAACACCCTTTTCCTCCTCGATAGCGATGTTTTTTCCTGTGCCCCTCCTCTTCCTCTTTTAGGGGTTGCGCCAACTACACGTGGCAGGCAAGGAAAGTATACCCCCGAAGGGGGTACGATCGCAGACGAAGAAGGCAGGTATCGAAAGCGCGCGGTCTCTATGTTGATCGGCGCGCGAGTTTGTTAAATCAAGCTGGTTTCATGTTGGTGTGGTTATTCTATTAATCACCCCTGAACCGCAGCACTCTGCACTTTGGTTGATAACATCTGCCGACGAGTGTTCCTCAGACGCCAAAGTCACGCGATCTCAACTCGTCGCAATGCCCGTGGCGTTGGTGCACCGTGTTCCGGAATAGAAAGCAGGCGCATTTTAATCGGGAGGCGGGTCGATCCAACAGCGCAGTTCCGCTGTATGAAAAATTAACCAGGCGAAAAGCCCAACCGCATGCAGTTGTGAATACCGCAATTGTGAATGTCACCTTCGCTCGCGCCCCCTGCGGGGCCACGAATTGCGCGGGGGGGCGCGCCGCAATGCGCGGCGGGGTCCACAACGTGAACGAAGACGGTCTGTCTCAGTGCGAGAGACTGAGAGCGGGCGAGCCCGGGCGCGAGTGAGTCTGATTGTGAATGAGTCTGCGTGCGAACCCGTCTACGCGCGTGAGTGTCAGCGCACATGTCGGCGCGTTCCTCGCGAGGATCGCGCCCGCTTCCTTCCCTTTTCTTGTCCTGCCTCTTTGCCCGCGCGCGCCGAAGTCCACGGACGCGGGCGCGGCGCCGCGCGGAGTCCCCGCGACGCGCGCTGGTCGCCCCGAAAGAAGCCCCGGCGACGCGCGCGGGTCGTCCGCTGCGCGGAGCAGAGAGAGCTAGCTGGCTGGCCGATAGCGGGCAAGGCTGTGGCCGCTGGCCATAGCGACGACGAGGGCGAGCGAGGCCCCGGGCAGAGCGCAACGCGGAATTCCCGCGACGCGCGCCGGTCGCCCCGAGAGGGTCCCAGCGACGCGCGCGGGTCGCTCCAACTGCTTCCGCACGCCCTCCGGCGGCCCTGCCAGGAAGAACTCGATGCGCGGCGCCCGCATGAACAGGAGGTCCTCGTGACGCGTGGCGCGCGAGAGCAGCGCGTAGAGCTCCAGTCGCCAGTCGTCGTCCTCCTTCTTGCCGTTCCCGACATCATGGCGGCCGCAGTCCAGGATCACGCCTGGGCGATGTCGGCCGAGGGAGCAGCGCGCCGGACAGCCGACGGCCCAGAGCGACAGTCCACGGGACAGCCACGCGAGCTGCGCCACTGGGACCATAGGTGGAGCTCCCTATGGGGTCACGAAACGTGTGAGGGCTGTGCCAAAATGGGGCGGCGCCGCCATGCGAGTTCCGCCATTGGGACCTCAGGTGGAGCTCCCAATGGGTACACGAAGCACGTGAGGGGTGTGCCAAAATGGGACGGCGCCGCCATGCGAGTTCCGCTACTGGGACCTTAGGTGGAGCTCCCTATGAGGCCGCGAAACATGTGAGGGGTGTGCCAAAATGGGGCGGCACCGCCATGCGAGTTCCGCAGCTAGGACCTTCGGTGGAGCTCCCTATGGAGCACGAAACGTGTGAGGGGTGTGCCCAAATTGGGCGGCGCTGCCATGCTAGTTCTGCCGCTGGGACCTTAAATGGAGCTTCCACTGGGGCCACGAAGCGTGCGAGGGGTGTGCCAAAATTGGGCGGTACTGCCATGCGAGTTCCGCCGCTGGGACCTTAGGTGGAAATCCCTATGGGGCCGCGAAACGTGTGAGGGGCGTGCCGAAACAGGACATGCGGAAGGAGGGGGGCAGCGGGAAGAAACGCGCGGCGCTGTCATTCAAAACGAGGACCCAACGCCACAAGATGGTTGGGACAAAAACGATTACAAGTTCGTCGTCATTCGGCGTGTTGTATGCCGCCTTCAAGGCATCGCCGCGCCTTGGCCCAAGGGCCTGTCGTCAGATTACCGAACTGCCCCTGAGAAGGACACCAGGGGGCAAAATAAAGATCAGGGTCCTGGGGGGGTACTAAACGATTTGCCCCCTCAATTCGCACAAGGGATGTATGACGAGGAAGAAGGAGGTCGTCTCTGTGCGACGACGAAGACGACGACGACGAAGAAGACCTGGCCCTGCAACGCGTTCGTGACTTCGGAAAGCTGTAATGGTCAGTACTTCGTATAAAACAGATAACAAGGAGGGAAGGGGAAAGGAGAGAGAGAGAGGGGAGGGGAGGAGGGGTGGGAGAGGAGAGAGTCCACAAGCCCAGTCTTCCCACAAGTATAGGATTCGGGGTAATGCCTTCTTCGTTTGTGGCCCCTTTTGGTTTAAGTCGCTGTCTACATCACATGTGCAAGAAAAGGGTTGCTGGTGGCCCGTTTCCGACAATCAGACACGCCTGGGATAGAGAAACAACTCCGCGGGGCTAGAGGGCAAAGACGAAAGAGGAGCAGCAAAAGTAATGGCAGTAGTAGTAGTAGTAGTAGTAGTAGTAGTAGTAGTAGTAGCAGAAGCAGCAGTAGTAGTAGCAGTAAAACTGGTAGTAGTTGTAGTAGTCGTAGTAGTAGTGGTAGTAGCAGTAGCAGTAGTAGAGTCAGCAGTAGTAACAATAGTAGTAGTAGTAGTAGTAGTAGTAGTAGTAGTAGGAGTAGCAGTAGTAGTAGTCGTAGTAGTAGTAGTAGTAGTAGTAGTAGTAGTAGTACTAGTACTAGTACTAATACTCGAGAAGTCGTAATAGTCGTCGTACTAGTAGTAACAGTAGTCGTAACACACGTACTAGTAGTACCGGTACTACCATTAGTAGTAGTAGAAGCAGTAGTAGCCCTAGCAATAGCAGTAGCAGTAGCAGTAGTAGTAGTAATAATAGTAAGGAGTAGTAGAAACAGTAGTAGTAGTAGTAGTCGTCGTCGTAATACTATGACTGGTAAAAAATTATCGTAGTCGTAGTAGAAGTAATAGTCGTAGTGGTCGTAGTCGTAGTAGTAGTAGTAGTCGTCGTCGTCGTAGTAGTAGTAGTAGTAGCAGCAGCAGCAGCAGTAGTAGTAGCAGTAGCAGTAGTAGTAGTAGTAGTAGTAGTAGTAGTAGTAGTAGTAGTAGTAGTAGTAGTAGTGGTAAGTGGTGGTGGTAGTAGTGGTAGGTAGCGGTCGTAGTCGTGGTAGAGGTGGCCGTAGTCGTAATGGTAAAGGTCGTAATCGTCGTCGTCGTCGCCGCCGTCGACGCCGTCGTCGTCGTCGTCGCAGCAGTAGAGGTAGTAGTAGTAGTAGTAGTAGTAGTAGTAGTAGTAGTAGTAGTAGTAGTAGTAGTACAACCAATAGTAGTAGCACTAGTCGTAGCTGTGGTTAGTAATACTACTAGAATTAGAAGTAATGATATTAGTCGGAGCAGCAAAAGTAGAAGTATTAGTAGCGGTGGTGGAATGTATAATGAAGATAGCAGTAACGGTAGAAGTAGTAGTAGTAATAGTAGTAGTAGTAGTAGTAGTAGTAGTAGTCGTAGTAGTAAGTGTAATACTAATATCAGCCGAAGTACGAGTAGACGTCTTTGAAAAAAGTAGTCTTAGTAGTACTAGTAGCCGTAGCAGTAGTAGTGCGGTGGTCTAAATAATATGAATAATCGTACTTGTAGTATTAGTTGTGGGCATAATGATAGTAGTAGTAGTAGCAGCAGGGGTAGTAGTAGCCGTAGTCGTACTGGGAGTAGTAGTCGTAGTAGTAGAAGAAAAAATCAAATGCTGATACTCAGCTTACTGGTAATAGTAATGCACTACTACTAGTAGTAGTAGTAGTAGTAGTAGTAGTAGTGGTAGTAGTAGTAGTACTAGTAGTAATAGACATACTCATAGTAGTAGTAGTAGTAGTAGTAGTAGTAGTAGTAGTAGTAGTAGTAGTAGTCATACCAGTAGTAGTATTAACAGTAGTAGTCGTAGTAACACTAGTAGTAGAAGAAGTAGTAGTAGCAGTAGTAGTAGTAGTAATGCTCGTAGCAGTAGAAGAACGCGCACAAGTAATAATACTAGTAGCAGTCGTATTAGTAGTTGTACTTGTTGTAGCTGTAGTCGTAGCAAAAGAAGTACTAGTAGTAGTAGTAGTAGTAGTAGAAGTAGTAGTGGGAGTACTGGTGGTAGTGGTAATAACAGTAGTAGCCGTAGTAGTAGTAGTAGTAGTAGTAGTCGTAGTACTAGTAGTAGTAGTAGTAGTAGTAGTTGTTGTTGTAGTAGTAATGGTAGTAGAAGTAGTAGTGGTAGTAGTAGTAGTCGTAGTCGTAGTAGTGGTCGTAGTAGCAGAAGGAGGCGCACAAGTAATAAAAGTAGTAGCAGTCGCAGAAGTAGTTATACTTGTTGTAGTTGTAGCCGTAGCAGCAGACGTAATAATAGTAGTAGTAGTAGTAGTAGTAATGGTCGTAGTAGCAATACTGGTGTTAGTGGAAGTGGTAGAAGTAGAAGTAGTAGTAGTCGTAGTAGTAGTAGTAGTCGTAGTCGTAGTAGTCGTAGTAGTAATAGTAGTAGGAGTAGTAGTCGTAGTAGTAGTAGTAGTAGTAGTAGAAGTAGTGAAAGTAGTAGTAGTAGTAGTAGTCGTAGTATTACTGGTGGTAGTGGTAGTAGTAGTAGTAGTAGAAGTAGTAGTAGGGGTAGCAGTAGTAGTAGTAGTAGTAGTAGTAGTAGTAGTAGTAGGGGTAGTAGTAAAAATAGTGTGAGTAAGAGTGGCAGTAACAACCGGACAAGTAGTAGTAGTAGTAGTAGTAGTAGTAGTAGTACAGTTAGTAGTAGTAGTAGTAGTAGTAGTAGTAGTAGTAGTAGTAGTAGTAGTAGTAGTAGTAGTAGTAGTGGTAGTAGTAGTAGTAGTAGTAGTAGTAGTAGTAGTAGTAGTAGTAGTAGTAATAGTCGTAAGTAGTAGTAGTAGTAGTAGTAGTAGTAGTCGTAGTCGTAGTCGTACTGGTAGTAGTAATAATAAGTGCACAAGTAAAAAAACAAAGCAGCAGCAGCAGCAGCAGCAGCAGCAGCAGCAGCAGCAGCAGCAGCAGTAGTAGTAGTAGTAGTAGTAGTAGTAGTAGTAGTAGTAGTAGTAGTAGTAGTAGTAGTAGTAATAGTAGTAGCAGTAGTAGTAGGAGCAGTAGCCATCACAAGAGAGGATGTGCTATAGACGTGCCACACGCTCGTGACTTGGGAAAGTTGAAGTGGTGAGTATATCAAATATCCCTGCCATGTGTGCGTGACTGGGGAAAACTGAAGTGGTGAGAACCCCATAGCCCTGCCACATGTTCGTGATGCTGTTGCTACTCAGCAAAAGAAGATATCAACTTCGATGTGTAACTTTCCCCCGCGATAATAATGAAACTCCGCCTCGCCGCCCCTCTCCCCTGACCAACTCTGTCTTGGCTGGGGATAATCAACTCTCACGGGTGAAGTGGGGGGGATTTATTATCCGCGGTGTTCGGATATTATTGCTGCCGTGAGATTATTGCAGAACCTGCGCATCTGCCGAAGGCCTCGGGCCGATATGGCTTGAGCCAATCTGGCTCCTCTTCCTCCCCCTCCCCCTCCCCCTCCCCCATCCGCCCTCTTCCTCCGCACGGCGCCGGCCGGGGGGGGGGGCGGGGCGTCCTTCAGCGACACGGGCGTGCCCTTCGGCAGCACCTTCACCCTGCTGCTACGCACCGCGGCGTCGCTCCCGGCATTCGAGAGCGTCGGGGGCTCGCTCTCCTTGCCGGCCGAGCGCCCCCGCGGGGCCGCGGCGTTCGGCCGCCCAGCGCCGGTGGCCACCGCCGCCGACTGCGAGGGCGACGACCACCGACGACGACGTCGACGATGACCTCCTCTCCCTCCTCCCTCCTCGTGTCCTCGTCCTCGTCCGTAGCCATTCTGGCTCATGCCGCGCTGGCTCAGGCTCGGCGCGCCAGCAGGCGCGCCCGCGCCAGCCGGCGCCCCGGTGCTTAATGACAGCTTGCAGATGGCGAGTCGCTACGGCTTGAGGTCCATCGGTTGCGATGGCAAGACGGGGTCGTATCGAACAGGCGAGCACACGGAAGACGGCTTCGTGGGCCAGGCGCTCAAGCTGTTCGTCCTCGACAGCCTCATCTGCGAAGGATTTGGCCAGGCGCTCGGCGGGTTCCCTCTCCGCTCCTCGGGCGCTGACCTCGAGGTGGAGGTGCTGAAGACGGCGCAGAACGAGGACGACGTGAAGTACGATGTCGCATTCGAGGGTCATGGCAGGACTGGTGTGGAATACTATGACGTGGACGGCGACGTGGTCCATCAGGACGGCGTCACGGTGCCGGAGACCGCCACGAAGTACGACGAGTACAGCAACGAATGTCATAGGCAGCACGACAAGTGCCTCAAGCTTTGCACCCTTCAGGCGGAGCATGATGAGCTGGACGCGGTCAAAAGGCGAGCGGTAGAGCTCGTGGAGACGCGCGAGCTGGCCGAGTTTCTTACCCAACAAAAGATGGAGATCTGGGCAGTGGCATGGCAGCTCAAGACCCAGATGGACAAGGCCTGGCCGTCTATCCCGCCATCCCCGACGCTGGTGCACGGAGAAGAAGCAGGACGGCGACAATGGAGCCGAGGGCGTCGACGAGGTCACGGAGTCTGCGATGATGGAGGCGGAGTGGTGAAGAACACGACGAAGGCCAAGCTTGAGACCGCCACATCGGAAGATGAGGCCGAAGCGAAGGGGCTGGAGGTGATGCCAGAGGCGGTGGCGACGATGGAGGCCGAGGCGATAAAGGCTTAGGTCCTTGGCCCTCCTTGCGAGAAGTCCATCGACCTCGTGGAGAACGGCAGGGCCGTCCACGTCTAGGAGGCCAAGGGCGTGGAGGCGATCACGTGCGTCACGAATGCCAAGTCGGTGGACAGCGCGAGAAGGAGAAGCATTGAAAGGGCTTACAAAACCCTGGCCCCTGCCCCTCCTAGTAAGAAATCCATCACCAGCCGCACAAGTGTCGAGGGGTGGGGGCCGCTACACCGAGGGGTGGGGGGGGGGGGCGTAAGTAAGGGCCCTAGATGGCCCAAACGGCCTCCCGAATGACCCCAAGAGGGCCCCAAAATGCCTCCCAATGGTTCCCATAGCGTGACTACAAGCTGTCGAAGCAACTCGCATGATGATTGTTGTTGGATTGGCTGGTGGGGATGCGCGAAGCATCCAAAATACAAGCAAATAATTAGCCCATCCGTCAATCCTCCCGCCGCCGAGAGAAAACGAGGAGATGGGGGGAGAAAAGATCAGGGATGATGCGGCGGGGAGGAGAATGAAGAGAGGCGGGAAAAGGCAGGAAGGGAGGGAGGGAGGAATGACAGACAGAGAACTGATGGCGTGTGCGGCCAGAGGGGAGGACAGAGGGAGAGACGAAGGAGGGATAGAGGGAGGGCGGGTGCGGCCCTATCGATGGATGAAGGAGGCAGGACGGACGGAGGACTGGTGGCTGATGCAGCCTGCCCCCGAGGGGAGGCGGGTCCGAAGAGAGTAACGGTGAGGGCGAGGGAACGCGCCGATGGGGAGCGTGTGGGAAGGAGGGATGACGGGCGAATGGGGGTGGGGGAGGAGGGATGACGGAGGGTCGAGAAGAGGGAAGGGCGAAATGGTGTGTGAGGATGGGCGGTGGGGGGATGACGGATGACGGAGGAAGAGCGTTTAGAATATTGACAATGTGCGATAACGAACGTTGACGGCGAAGGCCGAGGGTGGGCGGAGGAAGGAGGGACGAACAGAAAGAATGGAGGAGTGTGGCAGGATGGGAGGTGGAGAGGCGATGACGGAGGAGGGGGAGGAGAGTGGGAGGAAGGAGGGGTGGTCGAGGGAAGAGAGGGTGGACTGTTGTGGGATGATTGACGGTGACAAGAGGGTGTGATGGATGACGGGGGAGGAGGGTGGGAGGAGTGCTTCTCGGCCGCCGCCTCTCCTCTGCTGTTTGTCCTTTTGCATCCTTATTCGCATATCAGAGTGAGGGGGCCGAACGGTCATTCGTGTACCTGGGTGCGTGGCTGAAGTGGAGTTCCGCGGTACGGACTGGTGCTGCAATGTTGTTTGTTGCCGCCCCCCTCGCGACCGGGCCCGCGACCCACCGACCCACCTGCGACCCACCCGCGACACACCCGCGACTCACCCGCGAACCACCCGCGGCCCACCTGCGACCCGCTCCCTCACTCTTATCCGCAACTGCGGAGTGCTACGTATTCCTACTCTGCCACCTGGCCAGCCGATGGCCGCCAGATCCAGGGCCTCCCATCCTACCTGCCAGCAACAATGCAGAGTCTACAACTGCGCTTTCGACATGGGCATCTGTCGCCCATGTTCCAAAATGTGCGGCAAGAACGGGATGCTCGCCTCGGCGCCGCGCTCATTTTTCTATACGCTTGAGCTCCTGCTTGGGTGCGACGCGCATCACATTTTTTGCACGCAGCTTCGTCGACGCGCGAGCGGACGAAAATGTCGCTGTCGCCTCGGCGCAGTTCGGATTTCGCTTGAAAGTAGCGCTCCCGCCTAAGCGCAGAGCAAATTGTCCAGTCGCCAATTGTTGGGGGCCGCGCGAACGGGCGACTTGTCGCTCCCACCGAAAATCCGTGCGCGTTTCGCTCGGAAGTGGCGGTCCCGCGCGGGCGCGGCGCTGGTTCGTTCGCCGAATCGTATGGAAGCGACAGCGGCAGCGGGGCCGCGCGAAAGAGGGCGAAATGCCGACCTCTCCAAGCGCCACGGCAATTCTGTGTCAACGCGGCGCATGCTTCGTCTTCGCCGCGCCCATTTCAAAGTTTGCCGCTCTCGCCCCCATTTTTTCCACACAGAGGCGGTGCCCAAAGTGAGTGTTCGCGGCACGAACTCAGGGAAGAAACAAGTCTCAAAACGCATTATCGCGGCGCGTCAACACGCAATTCAAATATCACGAAAATTGGCCCGCAAATGCGAGCGATAACTGACGGAGAGGAGCAGGAGGAGGAGGAGGAAGATTTGCCGCTCTCGCCCCTGTGCGGACCGCGCGCTTGTCCCTTCGCCATATCGTCGGAAGCGGGAGCGCCTTCCGTTTGCTAGGTGGGAACGCGTTGCACTCCCACGATCAAAATGTTCCAGAATTGAGTAATAAATTATTGGAGGCTGCTTCCTCCCTTGAACACTCGCCGCTGGGCCACTTCTCCGGGTAAGAAAGGCGAGAGGAGGGAGGGAGGGAGGAGGATGAGCAGCAGGGGAAGACGATCGTCTGTAATGTTTAAACAACCAAACGCCACGGGCAACAGAGGTATGGATAACTAGGCGCGCGAAATCTGAATTGCATAGGTAACACGTGTTGAACGACTTGCGGTGGCATTTCTTTCGGTATGCAGGAACCGATGGTTTCATCGCACATTCCAATGCACAAAGCGCGAACGACGAATCTCAACATGCTGTGATTGAAGCATGGCGCGCGCCTTCCGATACTTTAGTGGTCCAGGGGAGGATGGGGGAAACATGCTTCTGATATAAAACTTGTCAAGACCCTTGGTAATCGCCACGCAATGGAGCTTGGCCTGCAACGATCCAACCTTTCCTCCTCTTCCTCTCTCACTCAGACGCGCTCATTTTTCGGAATCGCCCGTAATCATATTCACTCGTACTCAGAGTCACTCTTCCTCAGTCAGACCTAGTCATAACAGTATGAGGAGCCGCCAGAGGGGTGCCCCTCCAATCTTCTGTCTTGGTGATCCAAAGCTCACCGCAATAAAGCAAGCGTGGCAATTGGGCACCCCGGCGGGGACAGGGGTGCCTCAAGCGGGCCCGTTCGCGCCCCGTGTGTGGGGATGCCTCAAGCGACTACCAATTTCTGGCCTCACATGGTTTTCGTCATTTTGGTGGCCCGTTGCCCACGGCGATAAAGCGAGCGTGGCACTTGGGCACGCCAATGGGAAACCGCCACGGGGTGCTACACGGGCCCGTGCGCGCCCAGATTGTTGGGTTGTCGCAAGCGGTTTGTCTGCGGGCCCGTTCGCACCAATACTGTGGGGATGTTTCAAACGGCCTGCCTGTTTGACCCCCCAGGGCCCCAGATGTTTTGTCTCGGTAGCCCACTGCCTGCGGCGATACGGCAGGCGTGGCGTCGGGGCAGCCCAAGGGGAAACCGCCAGAGGGTGTTGCATGGGCCCGTTCGCGCACAATTTTGGGATGGCGGACATCTCTCTTTTGGTGATTCAGTGTTCACCGCGATATGGCAGGCGTGGCACATGGGCAGCCCAAGGAGCCGTCCCGGGTGGGGACAGTCCATTATTCGCGCCCGAAATGTGGGGATGTCTCAGGGGTGATTTGCCTGTTTCCGCCCCCCCCCGGTCCTATTGGACGCGCGTGCTCCCCACTCATTTACTCACCTCCTCTTCTCCCTCCCCTTCGCGCATCATTCAAACTCAAATCCGCCGACCCCTTGTGGGTCTCTGGGCGTGTGAGATAGTTCCCCCCCCAGAACCCCCCCCAGGGACCCCAAACCGGAGATTTGACCCCCCCACACGGCCCGGCGCGAGCGCCCCCCCTCCCCCCTCGGACCGGCGCGAGCGCACCACGAGGCTTTTCCGGACCCAAAAAGGCCTAAAGACGACCCAAAAAGGCCCCAAGAGGCCTCCAAGACGGCCACGAGGGCCTCGAGACACCAAACGAGCGCTCCAAGACGCCCAAGATGGCCCAAAGACGGGCTAAGAGGCCTCCTAGACGGCCCAAGAGGTCCCCACGAGGCCCCAAGAGGCCTCCA